TGGACTCGGTAGTGGACTTCACACGTTTTTGATCTATTTGGGACCACATATCGCGGCGGTGACAATGGCTGCTTATGAATGTCAGAGCTTGGATTTCCCGGAGCCACCTTATCCGGAGAGGTTAGTGATTTGAAAATGCTGAAAGTGCGCTCTATTGGGATGACGCGAAAATTCGAAAAAAAAAACGTGTATTTTCATAATTATAGGTCAAATTAGACAGTTTTCAGTTGAATAAAAGTGGGGTTTCGAATAGTGCCTGATTTTTAGGCTTTGTGAGATTCCGAAAACGTTGAAAAATCAATAGAAAATTTAGCTTCAGTTTCTCAAAATCTCAATTTTTTCAGAAAAAAAAAATTAGAACTATTTTTTTTGTAAAAGTTTCTCGGTCGGAAACTGAACTCAAATTATCTTTTTTTTTTCATAAATCCTATCAAAATCAAATGCGAGTTCCAATTGTGACAACTGAACAATTTTTTCCAGCATCCAATGCCCAACCACAAAAAGCAACATCGCCGTAACATTCTGGCAAATCGTCGCCAAAGTCCGAGTGGAATCACTTCTCTGGGGTGCTGGAACGGCTCTCGGTGAGCTCCCGCCGTACTTTATGGCTCGCGCCGCCCGAATCTCTGGACAAGAACCCGATGACGAGGAATACCGGGAGTTCCTGGAGCTCATGAATGCTGATAAAGAGAAGGACGGAGAGCAGAAACTCAGTCTGGGAGAGAGAATTAAGAGCTGGGTGGAGCACAATATTCACCGATTGGGATTCCCGGGAATTCTGTTGTTCGCCAGTATCCCCAATCCACTGTTCGATCTGGCTGGAATCACATGTGGACACTTTTTGGTCCCATTCTGGAGCTTCTTCGGTGCTACGCTTATTGGAAAGGCATTGGTGAAGATGCATGTGCAGGTTGGTCTCCTAATAAATCTTCATATCCACTATACACTCTTTTCTTCTAGATGGGATTCGTGATTCTGGCCTTCAGTGATCATCACGCGGAGACATTTGTCAAATTACTCGAGAGTGTAAGTTTTATTATAGAACGAAAATCTGAGGACTTTTAGATGCTATTTCCAGCTTTTCTAACCGTTAGAGAAAGCGAAATAGCATTAGAAACGGAGAGGTTTTCGTGCTTTTGTTGTCTTATTTATATGCAAATTTTCTCTTATAGATCCCAGCCATCGGACCACACATTCGTAAGCCAATCAGCGATTTGTTGGAGAAACAGAGGAACGCGTTGCACACGAAACCAGGGGAGCACAAAGAGCAGGTATGGACATCTGGACATCGCGCGCGCCCTGGCAGTTGAGGCTAGAGCGATTCTGGAGTTGACGGTAGCGAAAATTGCTTTAAAGGCGCAGCTTGGGTTTCACCACGCTTTCCTAATCGTGGTGAGACT